GGAGCACAGGGTTCACCTGGGATTGAGGTCAGGTGCCTGGGGCAGGGAGGCAGGGACTGGGCTAGAACCCGGAGGTATAAAGGCAGGAGTGCTCAGGCCTTCACTCCACTGCATCAGCCCAACTTGGAGTGGCTCTTTCTCTGTGGCCAGTTGGGAACCGGCACCATGAAGTGGATGGTGGTGACCGTGGTCAGCCTCCAGCTCTTGGAGGCGGCAGTCATCAAGTGAGTCTGGGGCCTGGCCTCTGGGGCCTGGACTCTGGAGCCGGAGTCCAGGCAGGAGTCTGGAGCCCTGTGAGGGGTAGCCTGGCCAGGGGCTGCCCCACCAGTCTCTACTCTGGAGTTTCTGCTGGGGCGGGGAAGGCTCCCTAAGCAGGTATAAGCTGGAGACTCAGAGGGGTGGGAGGCGCTACAGCCTTTGCCCTCATGAAATGTCTGTAACTGAACCAAAGTAGAGTTTGTCCACCAGATGCCCTGCAAGCCAATAAAAAAACTGACACTGAGCTTTTGCCGTGAAGCAAGATAGGTTTATTTATCGGTGTGGAGGTACCCAGGAGAATGGGGAGCTAATGCTCAAAAGTCCCATATGCCCTGATTCCTTGCAAGTGAGGGTTTTTTTTTTTTTAAGATTTTATTTATTTATTTGACAGAGAGAGACACAGCAAGAGAGGGAACACAAGCGGGGGGGTGGGAGAGGGAGAAGTAGCCTTCCCGCCGAGCAGGGAGCCTGATGCGGGGCTCGATCTCAGGGCCCTGGGATCATGACCTGAGCCGAAGGCAGATGCTAAATGACTGAGCCACCCAGGCGCCCCGCAAGTGAGGGTTTTTAAGGGGAAAGAATCAGAGATGAGGGGCTTGAGGTCGTGGGTTCTTCTGAAGGGTCATTGATTGGGTCAACCTCAAGATTGAATGACTTGTCTTTCTGGCACTGGTCTGTCTTTTTTTTTTACTTTTTAAAGATTTTATTTATTTATTTATTTGTCAGAGAGAGTGAGTGAGCACAAGCAGGGGGAGTGACAGGCAGAGGGAGAAGCAGGCTCCGCACTGAGCAGGGAGCCCGATGAGGGACTCAATCCCAGGACCCTGGGATCATGACCTGAGCCAAAGGCAGACGCTTAACCGATTCAGCCACCCAGGCATCCCTGGGCTGTCTGGTTTCATCAAATGTGATTGGGTGGTCCTTTCCTTCCCTGCTCTGGATCTGTAAAACATCCCAACAATGTGTGTCAGTGATGCTATCTTTGTTAGCAGAAACAGGGGCCACACACCTTGCGATTGGGCAGACTAATTCATTTCTTGCTTTCTTGGGCTTCCTTTTCATTATCTTAAGCAAAGCACCCTGGTGTGTTCCCAATAATCTTTAACTATGAGCTACATGCCTTGCTGTGGACTTAATCTGCTGACGGTTGCAATTCCAGGCAAAGGAAAAAGCACAGCCGTTTCCCCATCTGATGAGAAAAGATGGACCTGGGACAGAGTCAGGGTGACTGCTAGCCACACAGACTTTGAATGGCAGGTGTGCTTTCTTCCTGCAGCAAGGGACGATGATTTCTGGATAGGCAGACGTTTGCTAAAAATTCCCTTAAGGCCCACTATTTATTTAGCAGATGGCACAGTCATCTAAGCAGAGACACCAGGAATGTAATGTGTACATGCTGAGGTGTCAGGAGAAAAGGAGCGAGAAGGTGTGGGTCGCAGGACATGGGGAGGGCAGCCGGCCTGCACAGTGCCTCCTGTCTCATCCGTAAGGACCGATGCCTCCGCTGAAGACAAGGCTTCTTGCAGAAACCTGTGTGTAATATGCAAGTTCTGTAGAGGTGGCGAGCCTGAGCAACCATCAGTCTTAGTAGCTCAATGTGAATGGGTTCAGTGGAGAACTGGGGGCGAATGCGGGGTCCTGAGGGCAGCCCTGAGGGAATGGGGAATTGGGTGGCAAAAGAAAAGAAAGGAGTGGGACTTCTGGAGTCTGGAACGAGCCTGGGTGGACCGCAGAGACCCCCTAGGCAACAGCAGCAATCAGGTCTTGGAGGAGGAGAACCAAGGGAGACAGGGGCAGAAACCCAGACTTCATCAGCTCCAATTCCAGAGCGGATCTGGGCTCCAGACCACCCAGGCCAACTTCCACCCTGCCTGGTGTCGGGAGAAGAGCAGTGATCGGCCCTAGGCAGGGGCAGACCCAGAATCCTGTCTTCTGAGTCCCAGTCTAGCGCTGTCCATCCCCATGCTGTGTCACATTCAGCAGGGGCCAGCTGCCTGAGGGCCACCATAGGAGAGGGGAGGGGTGAGCTCTGCCATCTCTGAAATCTTTCTTAAAATGCATATCTCCTGGGTCGCCTGGCCGGATGACTCGGTAGAGCATGTGACCGTTGATCTCGGGGTCCTGAGTTCAAGCCCTACATTGGACGTAGAACTTACATAAAGACAATGCATATATCCTGCCAAGGCTAATGGCTGAAGTCCCCCCACCCCCTTCCAGGGAAGGAATTTATGGGCTATCTGAGAGCAAACGGCCAGGACATTAAGGACCCTCAAGATGGGGTGCAGGCATGTGTGGGTGAAGGTATTTGTTTTCTGAATCTTGGAACAAGTCCTGAGAAGAGCTTTGAAGGAGAGAGAGGGAGAAAGAGACAGAGGGACAGACCCAGGGAAAGAGCCATGGAGACAGAGAGAAAGGGATGGCAGAGCTAGAGCTGGAGCAAGAGGGAGACACATTGAGACACACAGTGATAGGCACAGGGGACACAGAGGCTGGGTGCCTGAGGGATGCGGCTGCAGGTGGCACAGCAGGGAGGGACAGAGGCACTGGGACTGTCAGAGGTGTTGTAGGAAGGAGGGAGGGCCCTGTGCTGACGCCAGCCCTTCTGCAGAGTCCCCCTGAGGAAATTAGAGCCCATCCGTGAGACCACGAAAAAGAAGGGCTTACTGGGGGAGTTCCTGAGGACCCACAAGAATGACCCTGCCCAGAAGTACCACTTTGGCGACCTTGGTGTGGTCTACGAACCCCTGGCCTACCTGGATGTGAGCCCTGACTCTCTGTGGGGGTTCCCTCTCATTGGTGCCAGAGGCTGAGGCCGGGCCCTGGGGGTGTGCTGCACTATCCTCTCTGCACCCTCCCACCTGGGCCCTGGGGCCTGCTCCCGTCCCTCACACCTGCTGGCCCCGACTAAGGGTCTCTGTGTTCTGGGCAAGTATGGAAGATAGGCTTGGGCCTCTGCCTCTGGGGTAGGTTGTAGGGCAAGGGCTCTGTCCATGCAGGAGCCTGGGCCTGAGGGTCTCGGTATCCCTCCAGAGCTAACAGCCTGCCCCATGGCCCCCCAGAGTCTGTACCTTGGGGAAATCGCCATTGGGACCCCACCGCAAAACTTCCTGGTCCTTTTTGAAACAGGCTCCTCCAGCCTGTGGGTGCCCTCCGTCCAGTACCAGAGCCAGGCCTGCGGAAAGTGCAGGACTCCCTAGGGGGAGTGGTTGGCAAGGGAGGGCACGGACAGCCCTGGGGGAAGGGGCGAGCGAGGCCGGGATTGTGGGGCCTGGGTGCTTCAATCCTGAGAGTCAGGGACTTGGCCAGGGTCAAGGGGCATGTTCAAGACAGAGGGAAGAGGCTGGCCCCGGACCTGGGTGGTCTCTTTGTCTTCCCTCTCACCAGCACATGCTCCTTCACCTGCTCCAGCCGGCCCATGCTGCTCCGTCCATCCCACTCTGCTCTGCTCCATTCTGTTCCCTGCAGACCACACCATTCTGTCCCGCCAAAGTCGACAACATTCTTTCTATGCCACTCCACTGCTTACTGAGTTATCTCGTTGCATGTCTCCTAGACACAGGGGAGAGCAACATAGGATCTGGTCCCTGTCTTGTAGTTGTATTTGGAGACAAGCCATGTTCCCCTCCTTAAGGCTGCCCTGGTCCCTGCCAGAGCCTTGGGGTTTGGGTCCTGGCACTTCTTGTCCAAAGAGTCCCTCATTGGCCATGTCCCTAGGTATCTCAGGACAGGTTCTTCATGGCGTGAGGGTGGAGGGAATGCAGGGATTCCTTGGAAGTTCATTTGCTCCTACAGCTGATGCATAATTTCTCAGGTGGGGATCTGCAAGGGGGGCAGGGAAACAGAGAAGGATTCTAGGCAACCTACCTACCAAGGGTCATGGTCAAAGGACAACCCAAGATTCTGTAAGTCAGAGGGGGCTTTGAGGCCAAGCCTGGCTCCCTCACACGGGCCTTCCCATGCTGGGAACCCTCTCAGCTGGCCACCCCGAGACCGTGTGTCCTGGGATGCTGCGACTCAGGTGGGCAGCCCTCCACTTACCAGCCTGCCTCCCCAAACCCTCCTTCCCACCACAGCTGGCCGCTCCTGCTTCAGCCCCAACATGTCCTCGACTTACTCCAGCAACGGGCAGACCTTCTCTGTGCAGTATGGCAGTGGCAGCCTCAGCGCTGTCTACAGCTATGACACTCTGAGGGTGAGCCCGCTGCAGGTCGCTCTGCGCCCCAGGATGTGGGAGCTGTACCCAGGGCTCTGACCTGGCCTGGAAACTCCCAGACCTGAGTCTGATGGGAGCTTAGCCAGAGACCGAGAATACAGAGAAACACCTAGTGCTCTACTGAGTACAAGTCAGATGATGAGTACACCAAGCACCCCTTCATGCAGTCACCCAGCCCGCACAGAGCTCACCCTGATGAAGGGGATGACCTGGTCCTTTGGTGAAGGAGCTTAAAGCTGGGTGTGGGGGGGGAACAGGGGGAAGAAGATGGAGGTGGGGGTGCTGCAGCAGCAGCTGGGGAAGGCCACTTGAGAGAAAACCTAGCTCTTGCAAGATGTGTCAAGAAGGCAAGGGGCAGGGGTGAGGGAGGGATGAACAAGGGAGCCTCAAGGGTCTTTGTGGAGGAGGGTTATAGGAAGATGAGCGGAGTTACACTTGTCACCTCCCATCCCATGTGTCCCTTCCAGGTGCAGAGCATCTAGGTCCCCAGCCAGCAGTTTGGCCTGAGTGAGCATGAGCCAAGTCCCTGTTTCCTCCAGCTAAAGTTTGATGGCATCATGGGCCTAGCCTACCCGGCCCTGGCCGAGGGTAGGGGCACCACAGCCCTGCAGGGCATGCTGCAGGCAGGCCTGCTCCAGCCCAGTCTTTAGTTTCTACCTAGGCAGGTAAGATACTGCTTGTGGGGGGGGTCCTCAGCTCCCAGGCAACTCCCCCCATCCTCCCCAGACCCCAGACAAATGAGCTCAGTGCTTTGGGGTTTGGAGGCCTCCCAGTAGGCATTTGGCATCAGCTACTACTGTGTCTAGGGCTTTTCTCCTGGGCTTGGAACCTGTTCCCCTGTCCACACCCTTTCCCTCATCCCCGTGTCTGTGCCTCAGAATCTTTGCCTCTTCTGGGTGAACTTAGCTTTGAGTGTGGCTGCTCATTCTCAATACCTCTTGGATTTACCTCCTGTCCAGAGCCACAGTTAGCTCACTGCCTTCTGGACACTTCTTTTGTGTACAATCTATTGCGTCATCTCCTTTGATGTATTGTTCTTTCCAGATCCTGGAGTCTTCTGGTCAAGGTTCATCATTTGCCCCTAACAAGGTGTTTTCCTCACCATAAACACAAGCAATGCAGCCGTTTAGTGGGGGTGGCCTGGGAGCCAGGTGGTGGGGGCGCGGTGAGTGGCCTAGGAGGGGACTTTCTTTCCTCCAGAGTTAGCCAGCCACCTTCTGGAGATAGTCAGCATCTGCTATCTGGCCTTAATCACCCGAGGCTGACTGTCAACAATATTACCCTGTTCCTAACGTTGCTGACTTAGTCTCACCTCTGATTACAATTCATTCTGAGTTTAGCCCTTAGGAGCTCTGCCCAATTCCACATTCAGGTTTGGCTCCTAGGGAAGGCTGAAAGGAGCAGGGAATATCCTTCCCTCCTCTCAGCCAAGGCCCCACCTCCCTCCAGTCCCAGCAGAAAAATGACAAGCCGGGCTCAGTGTCAAACTCCCAGTGACACACAAGACTAGTACCAAGAGGTGGAAGGGAGAGGAGAAGAAGGGTATATGGGACGGGGTGGGGGCCACACAACCAGCAGCTTCCCCAGAGGCCCTGCCTCTGGTCCCAGAGGCACTGGGAATTCTGAGGGGCTCAGCGTGGAGCTGCAGTGAGAAACGGGGACACAACCCCTTCCCTCAGCAGGCCTAGTGTGAGGGGTAGACACAGCCTTGCCCTGGAGCCCAGGACTGAGGGGGAGACACAGCCCTGCCCTCAGGGAGCCTCAACCTGCAGCCAGGGCAGGACCTCTATTTCCCTTTGAGGGTGAATGCTCAACAGGAAATCTTTTCTATAGACATTCCCTGATTCACCCTTCCCTTTGCCTTCCGCAGAGATAGGAGCTCTCAGAACGAAGCAGTTCTCATATTCGGAGGGGTCGAGCACAGCCTGCGCAGGGGCCAATCTACTTGGCGCCATAACCCAGGAGCGCTCCTGGCAGATCAGCCTGGAGGAGTGAGTCTGTGCGGGGGCTTGAGGGCGTGGCAGGCTCCGGGGCATTTCATGTCTCTCTTTCTCTCTCTCTCTCTCTCTCTCTCACACACACACACACACACGTACGTACTGCTAGGAGGTGGGGATAGGGGAGCCCTGAGGCCTGCCCCCACAAAGCCACAGCTATCCTCTGCTGGAGACTGAAGGCCCAGCTCAGCTGGAGAAGTAGGTGAGGTGGGCACAACATAAATGGGGTAGGTCTGGAATCTCAAACATTATAAACCCTGTGGTCCAACACTATGTGCTTACTAAATGGAAACCATGGTGTATATGGGGGGGGGATTAATGTGGTCCTAGTACTTAAACCGTTCAGTGACCCCAGCTTTCAGTGTTTCTAGTACCTTCCTTGAAACTTTAAAGAAAGACGTTCCATGGCCATTTAGGTAGCCTTGAATAGACTCTGAATGGTGTGTGGCAGGGGGATGGCTGGATTGACCTCTGCAGAGTCCTTACCTTCCTGAGGTATACCTGGATTCTGTGGCTATGGCTGTTTGGCCCTCAGTGGTGGGGAAAGCCCACTTCTTAGATGCCCTGAGCTGGAGGTGCTGAGCACATTCTTCTCCTCACCATTCAGGTTCCTCATTGGCGGCCACGCCACAGGCTGGTGCTCCCAGGGCTGCCAGGCCATTGTGGACACAGGCACTTCTCTGCTCACCATACCCCAGCAGTACCTGAGCGCCCTTCTGCAGGCTACAGGGGCCCAGGCGGACCAGTATGGACAGGTGTGTCTGGTGGAGGCATCCCCCTTCTTTTGGAGAGGCCCGCCAGGAAGCATTTATGATTCTTCTGGGAGTTGCTCCACTCTTGGCCTCCATGCTTCTAGCTGCTCCCAAAGGCCTGGAGGTTGGGGGGGGGGCGCCTGGGAGGACTGGGGCTGGGGGCCTGGAGGCTGATTCAGGGGGGCTGGAGGCTTGTGCTGAGAGGGTAAGGGGTGATTACTACTGGGTAGAATTTCCTTGGAGCTTCAGCCCCTCCAAGGAAACGGGTTAAACACTTTCCAGGCTTTGGATAAGGTCAAACTAACTGAAGTGTGGGGCCAAGTGGGGCAGCATGAGCAAGGGCGCTGAGGTGAGGGGGTTGGTGGGCCCTCTCAGGCATCTGGGCTCTGTGCTCTCTGCAGCTTATCGTGGGCTGTAACAACATCCAGAACCTGCCCACGTTGACCTTCCTCCTCAGTCGTGTGCATTTCTCCTTGCCCTACCACTCCTACGTCTTCACAGTGAGTCTGTAGGGACGTGACAGGTGTGAGGAGGGGCTGGGAGCCCGAGACGCCGGGTCTCCTTACCACGTGCCATCCCCCAACTGCTTGCGAGCACTGCTTTATTTTCTGCACTCACTGATTCCAAACCTCTACTGTGGCATGAGGCTGTGAAGCAGAAGAGTGTCATCTGCTATTGATTACCATTATTAATGAGTGCGGAGAGGCACTGGGGTGTTTGTCGAGCACTTATTAGGGTCAGCACTGTGGGAAGGCACTTTGCCTACACTGTTTCCCACTGAAGTATCAGACCATTCAATGGGGGAGATGCTAATTTCTATTTTACAAGTGAAAACTTGGAGGTCCAGAGAGATTAAGAAACTGACACAAGGCTATAAAACTAGTCAGGGTGAAGCTAAGGTTGGGAGCCAAGTTGGTCTGGCTTCAAAGCTTTGCCAGCAGGCTGACCTCCTCCAAATCGGGAGCAAAAGGGAGGCAGGTGGGACCTCGGAGAGAGGAGACTGCCGATGGTTACTGCAGCCTGCACTTACCCATTGCAGAAATCCCTCCTACTCTGGGGCTCAGTTGGCCTGTGAGCCCTCAGGGGCAGCAAGTCTGGCTCCCTCATTTCTGCATCGCGCTCCTGCCCTGGGGCTCAGGGCTGAGCAGTGCCCAGTCCACGTGTGAGCAAATGAATGAGCGCCACCCTTCTGTGTTGTGCAGGGCAATGGCATTTGCACTCTTGGGGTCCAGGCCACCTACCTGCCCTCCAGCAGTGGCCAGCCCCTGTGGGATCCTCGGGGGCATCTTCCTCCGGTCCTACTATTCCATCTTCGACATTGGCAACAACAGGGTGGGCTTCGCTACTGCCGCCTAGACTCAGCGCCTGGCTTCCTTCTTCCTCTCCACCCCCACCCTGCAGGGGCTTCTTCTCTGAATTCAGCCTTCTTTCTTTGGCTTCTGGGCTTTCTGTCATAATAAATAGTTCTCCTCCATGTTGGCCAGCGTGTTGTTTTAGAGGGCGGTTGTGGCCTGTAAGGCAGCTCCTGGTCACAGGGAATGGGAGGGAAGGGTGGGAGTCAAGGGCAGATGTGCCTCTGCTGGACCTGTTCTCCCTCAGGGGCTAGGAGGTTTGTGGGGGGTCACTGAGGTTCTAAGAGAGATGGCGCATAAGGTAGGGCTTGGGGAGGGGCCCTGTACCCCTCAGGGCTTGGAGTCTCTTCACAGCTTCTCTCTGCTAGTGGTAGTGACATTGAGGCTGGGCATTCCTTTGTGATGGGCCAAGGGGCCCTACTGCCACAACCTGAAATGCTCTGCTGACGTAATGGACTGAATGACCAGCAGAATCACCCTAGGCAAGTCCACTAGCACTGTGACTAGGCCTCCCATCCTCCCACACCTAGGCCTTCATCTCCTCACCTGTGATCAAGTTTGTACTAGGAGCTTCTGAGAAATGCTAGATGCCTACGTACACTTGTGACAGTCATGGGTTCTTCTGGGAGGGGGGTGATGCTCCCAGAACCAGTTTCCAGGAGGGCTTCAGAAGGTCTGGGCTGAGTGAAACATATTTTTACCTAGAGCCCTTTGCCCCAGGCAGGAGCAAGCAAGGACTGATGAGGCCTGAGGAGGAGTATTATTGGAAAACCATAATGGGAGGGTTGTAGGCTCCTTGTACATTTCTTTCACCCTGTCCTTCACTAGGCTGACCCCAACCTTGCTCCTTACATTCAGGGGTAGGGGTGAAATACAAGATTCAAGTCTGGCACTCCATTCCAAAACACGAGGGAAACTGAGGTTTGCCACGTAGTAGTTTCTATAGCAACAGCACACCATCTGGGACCTTACATCTTTCCTAGACTCTGGGAAAGATAGCGTGCTGCAGGCCTCTCCTTGGGATCAGAGAGACCACAGGGTGTATCATAGTGAGCTGTAGTTCGTGACATCTCTGAGTAAGAAGAGAAAAAAAACTTGCATAAGGGGCAGAAACGAAGTGGAACATAAGTTCCAAGTCAACAGCCATGCCCGTGTACATAGGCCACGGCCCACAGAGTGGAACTACAAATCCCGGCGTTCCTGGCGGAGCCGCCGGGAGGGACTACATTTCCCGGCGGGCGCCGCGGTAGGCCCGCGAGGGGCGGGGCGGGGCGGGGCGGGGCGGACCGCGGGGGGCGTGTGCTGCCCTCTGCCGGGCGCGGCGGGAAGTGGGTGCGGATTGACAGCGGGAGCCCGGGCGCCGGGCGCGGGGCTCGGTGACAGCGGAGGCGGCGGCCGCGGGCTGGACCTAGGGAGCGGCGGCGGCGGCGCCGACGGCAGCTGGAAGGGCGGACGGGGCGGGCCTCCCCGGTGGCGCGGAGCCGGAGAAGTCCGGGAGGGGGCGGCAGGCGCAGCTCGCGGGCCGGACACCTGAACTTGGGACAAGTTGCCAGAGCCGCGGGGGACAGGCAGCGGACGGACTGACCTTCAGGGCTAGGTGAGCGGGATAGGGGGGCAAGGGGTGTGCGGAGGGCCCGGAACCCCGGACCCAGGCTCCCCCGCCCCCATTGTGGGTGCGGGAGACAGGTGGGTGGATGGGGGTGCCGGCTGAAGAGGGGACACGGAGTGTGTGTGCCGCGCCGCCACCCGCTCGGCTGTCCGTCTAGTTCGGGACGCTCGGCACATGGCCGGAGCGGCGCTGCCCGAGGAGCCCAGGAGCCCCTCCGGCCCCTCACTGTAGGCCGGGGCCGGGGGCGGCTTCTCCGCGACCTTATGTAACCAGGCGGGAGGGGCCGGGGCGGGCATGGGCCTTCCCGGCTCGCGAGCTGGGAGTCGAAGGGGCGGGAGGCGTGGGAGTGAACTTGCAACAAGTTTGAGGGACGTGTGGGCCTTGCGCCCACTCCTTCTCCAACCGAGGCGGCTGGGGCGGGTGGTACGGGGGAGGGCGCCGGAGGCCCGGGAAGTGAGCGGGGGCCGAGTCCGGCCCGGCCAGGCCCAACCTGGATGGTCCCGGGGAGTGGGAGGGCCGGGGCGGCGCCACGCCCCCGGGGCTGGGCTGCTGGAGGGGGCGGGGCGAAATACCATCCCTCCCTCCCTTCCCGTCTCTCCCCCCCCACCCCGGTGTCTTAAGAAGCGGCCGCTGCCCGCGTCCCCTGGTATCCCCGAGCTCAGGCTTTTTCTCCCCTTTGCATTATTCCACGACCTCTAGGAACCCCAACCCCAGAGCTCACCCTTCGCGCGCCCCTCTTTCTGCTCCCTGGAGCTCCCAGCCATCTACCCGCCCCTGAGTACCCCCCACCTTCTTGGTACCGAATCCCGGAAAACACGCCCCCTTCCCCTTATTCCAGCAGTTCGTACCGCCCAACCCCTCGCCGTCCCGCCCCCCAAGTCCGCGCTCGGTCTTCTCCCCACCTCCCCGAACCCGGGTCAGCCACGGGGGCGCCGCGCGTGCACTTCCCTCCTCGAAGGGAGCGAGTTGATGCCAGCTCCGTCCCCGCCCCTCCGCCCCTCCGCCCCTTCCCAGCCCGGGTTCTGGCTTCACGCACCGCTGCCCAGAGCTGCTCGGGTTTGCAAGAGCAGGTTCGCGCCGCAGCAGCCTGGCGCGCCCCAGCCCCGCGCCCAGGGGTTAGGAGGGAGGGAGGGCGGGCGCCCGGGGCGGGGCTCCTCTTCACGCGCGACCTCGCGGCCCCGAGCTCCCCCTCCTCGTTGCCTGGCGGCTGCTCACCGCGGACTCTTTCCCAACCCGGTCCACGCCAGCCGGGGTTCTCTCGCCTGTCTGTTCTGGGGACGGTTCGGCGCAGTTTCTGGTCTAGACTTGAGCGCAGTGCTTTCTTTGGCTTTACGCCCTCTGGGAAGTGTCAATTAATTACCGCCCAGCCCCCACCCTGAGTGAGGGGGTCTTAATCGAGCAGGGCAGGGGCAAGGCCGGTGCAGGCCCTTATTGATACTTCTCAGATGTGGGCTCAGGCCCCTGCCCCCGCCCAGTCCAAGATTCCACTGGCCCAAGACCTGGCAATTCTTGGGGGCGGGGGGCTCTGGTTTCCTCTTGGGCGGCCAGATGCAGTTGGCTCAGATCAGGACGCAGTTTCTGGCTCCTCAGCTTGTTTGCTCTGAGGCCCTCTCAGTGCCCAGCCAGGTGGATAGTCTCCAGGCCCTGCCCTCAGGCAGATAATAGTCGAGGGGGAGAGATGCCAGCAATAAAGGCCGGTCTTAGACACAGCGGAAGGGCAGAGCCCTGCGTGGTAGTTTGCTGGTATGCTAGTACCATGCCTCAGTTTCCCCAGCCGTAGGAAATAGAGCACTTGGCCCCCTTCTTTCTGCCTGCCCTCTGGCCGCCGGGGTGGGAGAGTCAGGAACCAGAAAGCATAAATGAAAGGCTGTTTGCTCGGCTTCTCTGGAAGGGAGCTGATACTGTTTACAGTTTACAAGGTCTGTTACAGCTGCAGTGCTATTTTGCCCTCAGCTCTGGGAGGTGCAGACTAATTGGAATCCTGTTCCGGGTCCCATGGAAGTGGTGCAGGGCATGGGGCAGGGGACACCCCCTCAGGTGAGCACCAAATCCATGGAGAACCAGCTGGGCTTCTGAGGACTGAGGGCTGGGTGATTCAGTCAGAGGTGGGGCAGGGGGTGGGCCGGAGCAGGCAGCAGCCCATCCAGGGGCCTGGGATGGCAGGGATACCCAGGGCCCACCCCCATGGCCAGTCAGGCCCCCTTTGAGCCTCAGGGCTGGAAAGTAGGAAGGAGGGGCCTCCCATCCTGCAGGCCTGGCTGTCCTGTCCTTTGAGGGTCTGGCTTCTGGTCCTGGTTCTGGTCCCCCCCTCTGGGGGCTTTGTTTATGGCTGTAATTGGATCATTAGCTGGAGTTTATAGAGTTACTTAGCACCTGCCCCCACAGGGAGTGGCCCAACCACCCCCTGGCTTCTGTCTCTTCCTTTTCAAAGTCAACTTGGTTTCTGCCCGCAGCAGGGGTTTCCCCAACCACAGCTGGTATGAAAGCCAGGTTGGGCCTTTGTCCTAGGAATGGAGGGCAGTCAGCACTTGGGGCCCAGCTTGGGGCTGCCCTGGAGATGACCATGGAAGTTGGGTTGACCTCCTCTGACACAGAGGGAGGGAGGTCAGATTTCCAGAGCTGCCAGAAGTGTCCACGCCCCAGGATGCAGCAAGTGCATATGTATGTAATGTAACATGTCTGTCTTCCTCTGAAAAAAGAGAAAGAGGTACAACTCTTTCCAGGCTGTTGTGGGGATTCAGGGTGGAGCAGTGTCTGGCACATGGTGAGTCCATAGTATTGCTCTGTGTTTCACTCTGGGGCGTGTGTAATTGAGAGGAGTTTGTGTGTGTGTGGTTATGAGATGATAGGTATCTAGGTACATGTGTATAGATGAATCGTCTATGTGTGCGGCTATGAGAGTATAATCACACGATATTATATTAATGGAATATTCGTCTAGTCTCTTTATGCTATAACAGAACAACATTATAAGAAAATACTAGTTGCCAACATTTATTGTATATTTACTCTTTAGAGTGAGGTAGGAATGATTCTTTTCATTATCCAGATTCAGAGAAGTTAAGCAAGTTGCCCGAAGTCACACAGCCTGGAAGTGGTAGGGACTCAAACCTAGGTCCAGTTGCCTCCAAAATCCATGTTCTCAATCTCTCAAGCAGGCCTCTTCGGGTTTCTCAGGAGTTCTGTCTTAAGAGGTGGGCAGCTGGGGGTCTGGGAACGTTCTTTTCCCCATGCAGGGTCTCCTGCTCTGAGCAGGGATGGGAACTCGCTGAGGCCTCTGCCCCAGGGCCACACCTGTATCCTGGCTGTTCTTCTGAACTCTGCTGACACAGGTGACCAAAGGACCTCTGGTGAGGACTCTCCTGACCGGCGCCCGAGAGGAGAGGAGTTCAGAC